CCAAATGCAAGGTATACCAACGCCTTCAATGATTGCAAAGGTTTTCGAGAGAGAGAGATGGTATTTCATTGCGTGTGTGTGTGTGTGTGTGAGAGAGAGAGAGAGAGAGATGGAGACCAAAAAAGGTTTTTCTTCTGGAAGCAAAGTAAATGGCAATCTTAACAAGGGCAGACAAAATATTGGCTAGCATTTTAGGGACCATTATAAATTCAGAGCATTTAATTGAAAAATGTTGACTAATTATGGTAGGAAGCATCTAATAATAAGACAGAATGACAAAAGTAATGAAAACATTTCTATGACAGCTGAGGAAACTAGAGAATTTAGCCAAGCATTGATATATTACCTAATTCAATTAGTGAGTACAGAACAGGAACTCCTATTAAATAGGTAGTATCCCCCCAAAAGATAAAGGCTAACCACAAACAATTAATGGATAGTAGTTATTTAGCATATATTGGGTGAAAGATAATATAAATAAAATACTATCATAAAAGCAGAACAAGCTCTAAATGTTAGGAAACTATGCTTGTGATGGAATGAAGTGACTCACTCACTGCCATCAAGTCGATGCCAATTATGGTGACCCTTTAGGACAGTGGTTCTTAACCTGTGGGTCGCAGTCCCTTTGGGGGTTGAACGAACCTTTCATAGGGATCACCCGATTCATAACAGTAGAAAAATTACAGGTATGAAGTAACAATGAAAATAATTTTATGGGTTTTTTTGTGTGTGTGCTGGGGGGGGGGGGCAGTTCACCTCAGCATGAGGAACTGTATTTAAAGGGTCGTGGTATTAGGAAGGTTGAGAACCACTGCTCTAGGACCAGGTAGAACTGCCCCTGTGAGTTTCTGAGACTGTCGCTTGTCACAGGAGTAGAAAGCCCAGTTTTTCTCCCTTGGAGCTGCTGATGGTTTTGAACTTCTGATCTTGCAGTTAGCAGCCAACTTGTAATCACTATGCCATCAAGAGTGATTCAGTTGGATGAGAAGTTTAGGGAACCACTTAAAGGAAAAAGGTCGATATTTTTGAGTTCGGTAAGGTAGAGAAGGAATGTGTAAGAGTGTAGATGAGAGTTAAACTTGGAAGAAATGATGATTCTGGATTCATGTACTCAGAAGTACAAGTATTACATGTGGGTTGTTTTCCTCGATGATGAATGTTGGTTTTGTGCTTGATTTTCCTTATCCAGGAATTGCCACAAGCAGTTTGTGAGATCCTGGGGCTGCAGGAGAGTGACATCACCACACCAGATTCAGATATAGGTGAAGATGAAAATGCTGGCATGCTTGGTCGTCCATATAATGATAATGCCTTGCCTGTTCTTACTGCCACTAGGTCCAATGATGACAACCCAACACAGACATCAGTGTCCCAAATGTCAGCAGATTCACACCTGCATGATCATTTTTAGTGATTTTTTTTTAAAGAGACACTTTGTTGCATTTATTTTCAAGTACTTGAAAGGTGGAAATTCTAAATCTTGATATTGATCATGCTTTAAGGTTTATGGAAAGAAAGTGTACTGTAATGTTCTTGCATTAAAGCTTTACAAAGATTTGAACTAATTATTTTTGTATTTACTTCTGCCAAGTAGTCTTTCCTTTTCAATAACATTCCTTAGTATTTTTATAGGCAAGTACATTTTATTTTCTTGCTGGTAAACTGGAATTGGATAATATTACAAGTGGATGAGTTGAAAATGATGCACTTTGAAGAACACTTTGTTTGCTCTAAGCTAGTAGGTTTTGGATTTGAGTAAATTAAATATTGAGCCTTTCCATGCTAAGAAGTGACAAAATAAAATAAATAAAAGGATTGTATTTGTTGTTTACAAAGATACACAGCTTAAATATTTATGTTGGTTGGATGTGATTTGAATTGGACATTTTCATCAAAGTAACTTAATGTCTAGAAGTATTTCAACTGTAAGTGGATTGGCAGCATGTTTTTTACATTGAACTTTTCTTCACTTGTACATAATGACTATATATAACTACTTATTTATGAATATAAGAAAGATTAGGCATATTTTCTTTAACTGAATAAATGACTTGATTTATACAGGATGAAATGATGAAATTAATAACATAGCTTCATTATGAGATCTTTTTCAAAACTATTTTCTTAAACATTTATTTCATGAGAACACATTCAGTCCTGTACTTGATGTAATTTTAAAACTAACTGCTTGTAACTTGACTAATAATAATGTTTATTATATTTCCTAATGCATTAACTGATTAATCAGGCCTTTACATTTTTATAAAATGTCTTTTGAAAATAATTATGTCAAAAATTTCAAGATACTACTAGCTCAAATAATACTTTTTTTTGTATGAATGAAAGCTATTTTTTTTACCATGCAGTGTTGCATGATTTTAAGTTATATGGAATTAACTGAATTGATTCCATTTAATTGTTATTTGTTAACTCCTTCCTGAACATATCATTAAAATAAATTTGAAGTTGAAGTGTTTTCAGTTAACTTATACTTAGAAATAGTCTCCCAGTTCTCATCAGGGGAAATAACTCCAATGTGGATATCATTGTATCTCATAGTCTAACTTACACTTAGAAATAGTCTCCGAGTTCTCATCAGAGGAAATAACTCCAATATGGATATCATTGTATCTCATAGTCTTATGTGATTCAAAATTCATTTGAATTTGTGATTATGAGAAAAAGACATGACCTGCTGTATAATTGAAAAGGATTTCTTTTATCAGCATGAAAATGGGCAGAGTATTGCATTGAAGGGCGTAATTAATCAAATTTAGTAAAGCAACTTATCACAATTGTTGCTGATAAGGTTAAGTAAAATCTTGCTAAAAAATCATAGTAACTTTATTAAACAAAAATATCTGACGATGAAGAGTTTGGTCTTTTTCCTCCAGCAGCAGGTCTATATTCTTTTGGTGAATGTAGTGCATCCTGTCCTAAAGAATTACAAAATGGAAGTTTAGGCATCATTAATGAATTCAAGCCACGTTCCTTTGATCGATCCTGTGAGTTTGGGGAGCTAAAAGCTGACTGACGAGCTAGACCAAGGCTATGGGATAGATGGGGTAAGATCTCCTGCTGAAACGCAGGACAGCACTTCTTCCCTTTGAAGGATGAACACGTGCGTTGTTATGGAGAATAATCTCCTCAGTGTAACTTTCCCGGCCCTTTTCTCACCAGTGTCCTAATCTATCAAGATTTCCTCCCTTTGGTGTCCCCCCAAACAGACACATTACCTGAGATGACCTCTGCCTTGAAGCTAGACCATCCGCTCCTCTCTAAAGCCACCTGTTGGGACTAATAAAAGTGTGGTACTGAGAAGACTTGTCCACAGGCACCCACTACTCCCAGAGCCTTCTGTAGACACGTGTCTAGACGGAACCAGTGCACGCGTGAACCGGAGCCCTGGTAGCAGTGCTTGCCCTCATGGTGTGAAGGCATGCCGTCTGAAATGGCTAGTCGGCAGTTTTTCCCCCAAAGGATCAAACAAACTTCATTCTCTAGTTGAACATTAACTGACCGTTATGACAGTGGAAACACTAGATTTTAGTTTTTAATATTGTGTTATCTTTCATCTGTTAATAATGAGCAAGCCGATTCAGGAGGAAAAAAAAAGTAAACAGATCCGAAACTCAGCGTCTGCAGTCTTTCATTTCCGGCTGTTCAGGAAATTGCTTAGAACATCTTGATGTCCTCCTTGTTCTTCCTGGACAGCGGCTCTTTGTGAGACCTACTTTGGATGTTTAAAAAGCATGCATTTAGTAAGTGAACTTTCGTCAAGTTTTATAAAACTACTTTCTAAAACATAAGTTTTTGCTACACAGTGTGCATTTCTGTGTACACATCTTTGATGTGGGAAGTGATAGTAATACATATAGTGCTAAAGTCCAGTGGAGGTCACAGAATCTAATCAAGTATTACAACACCTTGAGTCCTGAGATTGGTAAATGGTTCAAGTGTATCTGTTGCTCTAAAGGTTCATTTCAGTTTTTACAAGTTGCTTTATCAAAGCCTTATCACTTAAAATATTTGCAATTCATTTGATATTTAAGTTTGCTAGGATTAAAGTAGTTTATTTAACTGTTAGAAGTATTTTCAATAACAGGGATAAGCCTACAGCGACCCTTTAAGAATTTAAGATCCTACCCATTTTGATCATGCCATGTATTTAGGATTCTTCATATCTTTAATTTTGGGAACTTTAGAATTGATTAGAGACTAAAGGGTTTTTGAACAGTGAATAAACATTATCCTTTGGAATTGGTAACTGATCTTGCTGAGCAAAACCTGTAAGATCATTTGTAGATGCTAACCAATTCCTGGGTGGTACGATTGGTTAGTGGGCTCACTGGCTAGTCGAGATTAGCGGTTCAAGACTACTCTGAGGTGCCCCAGAAGAAAGACCTTGCAGTATACTTATAAAAAATGATCCTTGAAAGTCAAATGGAGCTTAATTCTCCGTAGACACACATGATGTCACCATGAAATATGAATGAACTCGTTGATATCTGAGGGCCAGTGGAATGATAATTGCTTCTCATGCAGAAGACCAGTTTTTCTGACCAGTGTACACTTGCTCGTGGTCAGAGATGCTGTGCATGCTCGTACCTGTTGTGCTGAGTGGGTAGGGCCAGATATTCCAGATGAAGGAAAGAAGGCCTGGCAATTGCCTCTCAAGATCCCGCCAGTGAGAGTCCTGTGAATTTCTGGTTTGAGCTGCAACTGATCATAAGGATGGTGCAAGACCAGGCATGATACAGTATTTTAATAGTGCTCATTTCCAGATTCTCGGTGTCATGCGTTGAATTTTCCTTCCATTCCCATGGCTCTAAACATGTGTCAACTTGGCTAAGGCATTGTGATAGGTTTTGAGTCAATGGCCAGGATTCTCAATGGTCTGGCAGTTAAGACTTAGTAATTCCTCATGTGGCCAAACATGCGACCACCTGCATAATGGGATCTGCTATGAGCAGCCTATCAGTTGTGAGAAGGTTAGGTTGGGATGCAACACCTTTGTTTAAGTCAGTTTAAGTTTAAGTCAGTTGAAAGGAAGTTTCTTCAGGGGTGTGGCCTGTTGCCAGTATAAGTGGACAGGGGAACAGCTTGCTTGCTTTTTGCCGAGTCTGGCTCCTGCATCTCGCTCATCTTGAGTCAGTGGCCTGCCATTCCTGGGGTTTGTCGGTGTTCTTCCATCTGAGTTGCTGACGTCAGATTCGTTTGCCACTGCAGTCACAAGAGTGATCTGCTTGCCTTGGATTTATTCCTCTCTGCAGTTACATCCTTAGCAATCAAATCTCCACCCTACTTGAGTCGCTCCCTTGTTTGAGTCCCACTCTGTCGTGGAAGTGAGAAAAGGAAAGATGAGAGGAGAGTGGGAAAGGCTTCACAATTAACAAGAAAAAGTGTGCCTTTGCACCTGAGGTCCCCCTGCTCGGTGAACTTCCCAGCCCCAGGGGAAGAGTGAGGTCAAGATTATGGAGATCTCCAACTGGGCCCACAGATGTTGGAAGGAGACCCTAGAACCAGCACACTGAATCCAGACTTGAAGACTCAAACTCGTGGGGAAGTACAACCAGAATGAGCCCTCCTTTCACAGGCACGCGTTAATCAGAAGAGACCAGCCCCGGGAAAAGGACATCGTACTTGGTAAAGTAGAGGGGCAGCAAAGGAAAACCCTCAAGGAGATGCGTTCACACAGTACCTGCAACAACAATTGAGAGGATGGCGCAGGACCAGGCACTGTTTCATTCTTTTGTACATAAGGTCGCCATGAGTCGGAACTGGATAGCACATACAACACCAAACAGAAAACCAGTGTCTCTCAGGTGTAGCCACCCTCTTGTGGTCAGCACGAGATAACCACGACACTTGACTGGTAGTCTAAAAATAACTTCAGCCTTTACTTCTGACCCACAGTCTGGAGGCACCGTTATGGAGTCTGCATTTTTATAGGTGTCTAGGTGATTCCGGAGCCTTCTGAAGTTAGAGCACTGGCCTTTTATATGAGGGCTGCACACAGCTTGTGGAAGAATGGAATTACAAGGGAGTTGGACATTCTCCCACAAAGTGAAGCCCGCATGTACACTGCCTTTGAAGTGCGGCTGTATTTGTCCTGATTCTCCTTTGGGACTTCATAATATGGGGGTTTTAAGTGGTAGAATTTTAGAAAATGCTTCTAATTATGAAAGTTTTTTTATACTTTATGCTTCTATATATCAGGCTGTTCATTTTGGCAAAGGAAACCAATGTGTTGCCCTAATATGTAAAAGGTGGTGTGTGTTTAGCTTGGACCTCTAGCTACCTCTCTTTCAAATACACAGACCACCCCCTTTACGCTAAGGTAAATTAAAGGGTTTATGAACTCACGATAAATACAAACTGATAATAAAAGTTTATTTTTCTAAGAATTAATAAAAAATACATTTTCTAAGAATAAAAAATAGTTCAATCCTTGTAGATAAAATTATAATAGGGTAACCAGAGGTAAGCAGTTAAACATGCTTCTCCCTCTTGTAGGATTGCTATGAGTCAGCTGAGTCAATGGCATGTAACAATATTTAC